CTGGCGACGAGGTGAAATTGGAGTGTGCATCTGAAAAGTCTCGTAAAGACGTTCTGCGTCTAAATAAATGCAATTCTTGTCAAGAAAAAAAGAGACAGAAGCAGCAGTTTTGAGTGGGGTGGCCAACCCTAGCTCCGCCCTTGTGTAAATTGGGTTAAATATTTTTAATGCGTTAAACGGAAAAAATTAATCACATGTGTTAAGGCGGTAATTTTGACAGCACTAAATAATTTACATTTATTCGTACATTTCTTATTATATTACATTATAATTTTTATATTAAAATGTTAATATATTAAAATTTTTATTTTCATGGTTTAATTATATGATCATTTAAAAATTTTCATATATAAAATCATTATTATAGTATATTATATTATTAAAATGTTCATATATTAAAGTCATTACATTCATTTTTAAATATATACTATATATGCTTGAAAATTTATATTAGGAAAATGTATCTATTTATTTTGTTATCAAATTATAAAAACAGTAAAAGAATTTGTTGAAGTTGAAATAACCTAATAAATATTAATGAGCTTTATAAAGTTATTTTGTAACATCACCACAAACAAAATCATGTCTAGCACTATTTGTTCTTTTCTTTCAACCACTTCTCTCTTTCCTTCCCTCTCTTCTCACTTTCAGCGTATGAATACATTTTGCATAATGTTCAGTGATGGTCTGTCAGGATGATGCTAACAGTACATCATTGAGGTGCAACTTCCTGCCCCAATCCGCTAACGAGCAGTAAGCCTCACCAAGATCGTGCTCCGTCAGGTGCAGTGACAAGTAATATTAGTTTTCTTGCCTTTAATTAAATCTAAAGTGGCCCCACAGTCTACTGCGTAATTGGACACTTGGGTTGCGAGTTATCGGCCCCAAAGTTCATCACTACAAATACGACTGGATGGGCACGTTTAATACCCTCTGCTGTGCGGCTGCTTCCTGTGTGAACAAGTTTTCACAATTAATTTTCTACAGGTGACGGGTGACAAACACATTGTGACCCAATGTTCGCAAGTTCTTGGCCATAAAAAGGTTCAAATGTGGACAGATTTTGTAGTTGGCCTCAGCACTACTGAGGGGATCTGAAACACACCATTTACGATCTCCGTTCACTTTTCCATTAATCTGATGAAGATTGGGCGCCTTCATCTTCAAAGCGTCTCTCTTGTATTGCTTTTTAGGGGCACATCTTTATCTGCAAGGCTAATGTTTTCTTGAAGTTTGTGGATCCTCCTGAGGTACAGACAGCAGAGGAGAGATGACTCGATGTGTTGAATATCTGATGCCTTCCTCTTTCCCCGCTGTGGCCATTACTCACCTCCTCGGAGATGATTGCTGAAGCCACAACAAATGCAAAAGAGACACCGAGACACTGTGTGAGTTACATCTCAAAAATACACATTATGAATGATTACTTTCATGGGATGGATCTTAGCGCTCGCTCTCATCTCTGTTTTATTCCTTCCTCAGTGCCTTTTGAGTCTTGTGTGTGTCTGTAAAAGTAGAAAGGAAATCATTCAAGCGAGGACAGAAGCAAACTATGAAAAGATAAGTAAGAAAGGATATTACTAGAGCTTAAAAGTCAACTTGAAATTGGCTCAGTTTAATTTCTCAACACATATTCTTGGTCTTATTGTGAACGAAGCACATTTCTCCATAGATAGAAATATTTGTCTTCGTAATCCTTCATCAAAATGGAATAACTCGCGTTGCCTTTAAAATATTTCCTTCAATGCTGACATCATCAATCCCTCTTATTTTTTAGCCCTCCCCCTCCAATCACTTGTCATAAAGAGACACTTTTCACCATCTAAACGATTTTCAATAGATCAAAAGTCCAACCTTATATTTGTTCATTTTGAAAATCCTGTTTTGCCTGGAAATACGCCACATTTACATGGTAAAATGGGGTTTGAACATAATTTTGGTTTGACGTAAAGTTAATATATTTAGTCATAATAGACAGCCACCATTGGCATATTTTTGAACGCTGATGAAACATTGAAAATACTTTTTGGGGTCAATAAAACATATTGAGGCCTTTTCATTAAAGCTGCAGACCGTAACTTCTTTTAGTTGAAAATTATCTGAAATCAATATCTGAGCAAGTACATGACCAGCCAATGTTCAAAACTATCGCCTTACTTTAGTCCGATTCACAACGGTAAGCTTATAATAATGTTTTCTAATTTGAGTGGTACGGGTAGGTTTTCGCGGGAAATTCGAGCATGGCACTGCGTCATTACGTCACGTCTGTAAACATAAAGAAGTTGTCTCGGCTAGTAGGCTATATCGCATGTGCGGATCCTGCAGGTGGCACATCGTTTATAGCCTTTTCTCACAGCAGCTAGAATAATTAAATGCATAATTTTGATGGTGGATTGTAATCCATACAGGATTATGTGTTTATGAAACACGTGAATGAAATTAAATTATATTCGTTATAAATGTGCTTCTGATTACAGGTAGCCTGGGATTACAAAGATTTGTATTTTAAAGAAAACCAGTTCGAAGGGAGCATAATTAGCTTTTTGGGTTAAAAGAATTTCTTAATATGAAATTTGAAGAGTATGACAATTAGATTAGACTGTGCAGAAATTGAAATCTACACGCTAATACACACTATACTCATAGTCACCAATGCTGATGTTGTTAACATTAATCATTTGAGAATAAAGCATAACAATAATAATAATTTGAATGGTTTGATGTGATATGAGCTAACCGATCTTTAGATTTAATCACCATTGGTAGCGAGATTTATGGTAATGCTTTTTTCCTCAGTTGGTCAGAACAAACGTGGCAGACTTGTTACTTACTTGTTCAGATGACAATAT